AAAAAAAAAAAGAAAAAGAAATGAAGCAGTGACTGGGAAAAAATTATGGAGAAGAATTTTTTTTGAGAATATGAAGTATCAGTACTGATATGAATAGTCCACGAGAGAAGAAGAAAATGATGGTTGAAGAGGGGAGGGACAGGAGTAAGCTCTGGGAGAAATATCCTTAGATAGTTAAATGAAATGCTATTTAGAATAAATGTTACGGAGTAAGAAGGAAGCACAAACTTTGAATTTAATATAAGTGAAGAGGAATAAAACAAAAGCACAGGTAAGGAGGTTAGAAGTTAAGTATAAATTTTAGGGAATGGTCAATGGATAATTACTGTCTTCCCAATGGATTGGAGGCAAGTTTATCATCTGAAAGTGACTGATCAGATAGGCAGTTGAAGAACACCAAGGTGTTTGAGAAGAAAAGATAATACATGAAATTATTCTGTATAATTATTAATAATAAATTATTATTATCTAAATATACTATTTTAGCACAGTATATAAGCTCTCCACAGAAATTTTATTGAATTGCCATAGAATGTTGGGTCCCCTCTATATCTGATATCATAAATTTAACTTACAACTTCACTTTAAGTCAACCTAACTGGTTGTGTGACTTTCATTTTCACCTGTTCATGCTTGCTTTAGAAAAGACCTTGTTAATTCCTTGTAATGTTGAGGTTCTTCCAGCTGATCAGGACAGAAAGTGAGTGGACTGGGGGTTAAATATTTCTGCAAAAGAGCATTTATTTTTAAGGGTCATGAAAGTTAAACTGGACATAAGAGAAGATAGAGGGTGTTACTGGTGAGAGAATGGGTTTAATATCTTGGAGATAATGGTGGAGATCAACTTCAAAAGCTGAGCAGGAAGAGGAAAAGATTGGCACAAGTGAGTGGTATTCGAAATCTTGGTATTAGACATTTTGGAATTTGTAAGGTGGGGAGTGTATGACTGAGAAGGAGAGGATAGGCCCCTAGACATATGGGTAAAGAAACAGGTAAGATGTATTTCTGGGAATAATAATAGAAAATGCAGTAGAATGATAGAATCCAAGTCTTCAATTAGCATTAGAAATGATTAGAAGTTTGATAAATGATAGTAATATTAAGCACCCTCAATTTTAGTTTTCAGTTATATAATTTAATATCTCTAACAGTGTGTTTTTAACTGATACTTATTTGGTTGATTTAAGGGCTGTTGGGCTTCCTGCTATGAGGGAAGGTGATTTTATTGTTGTTCTTGGTTACACTGTATATAGTTTACCTTGTTTACAATCTCTCCAAGGTCTCAAAACAGTTTTGTTTCACTAGTGCACACCAGGAAACCTTAAAGTGGTTGAATATTGAAATATACCCTGAAGTCCAGCAGCCGTATTAGGTACTAGCTAGATGTGAGCAGGCAACGATGGATGCAGTCAAGCTAGTTTGCACTGGTCTGGGTCAGTCTGACCTGAGCTATTGTGGGAAGGAATAAGGCTGATTAAGACTTTGCAGGTGGGTTATTTTCAAGACCTTGCCGATGGGGTATTTTGAAGTTTCCTTGAAACTTCAAGACACAGTTGATTCTTCTCAAAGTTGTGTATAAAACCTAGAGGCCATGATTTCCACAGTGCCGGTAGTGATTAGGACAAGGCCTAACTTGCTCAGCAGATCATTAATGTACTTTCTTTTTTTAACTAAAACTTTACTTGTTCTCCTCAATTATTTTGGCAACTGCCTCAAGGCACCAAGCTACTTTAACTGCTGAGCTGCTTCCTAGGTTGGGATTGGGGGGAATAGGGAGGTGGGGGAGGGTAGCCCGGGGGTAGGGAGTGTCCTCTGAACACTCCTCCACACCTGCTGGCACAGAGAGCTTTCAGCTCTGTGCTCTAGCACAGCAGGTGTTGTGCAGGCACATGCTGCATGGTTTAACTAGCTGGGAATGTTAAGTATCACTTAAATATAACCCCTGGTTATAACCTTATTCTAAGTTTCTTGACAGGTCACTGTTCCATTATCAAACATATTTTAAGTCCTCAGTTTTGTTTTTTTTTTTTATTATTAAATCATACCTGCACACATTAATGCTGTCATGGGGTACAGTGTGCTGTTTCTATATACAATTTGAAATACTTCCATCAAACTGGTTGACATAGCCTTCATGTCATTTTCTTAGTTATTGTGTTAAGACGTTTCTATTCTACACTTAGAAAGATTCACATGTACCCTTATAGGATGAGCCATACACCATTCACTGTAAAATATCTGTTGATTCTTTCCAGGGGTTTTCAACCTGTGCCCATAAGCTGCGTTTTGACTTTGTGAGGACTTATTTGGCTTCTCTGTAGTGTTAGATGTCATGAACCATTTTTTTTGCTAATCAGCTTTCAGTAGTGTTTGTATATTTAATATGTGGCCCAAGACAACTCGCGTTTTTTCCAATGTGCAGCAGAAAAGAAAAAAATTTTGCACACCTTGCTGATTACGATTAGGCTTTGGCGTCCCCACTCTTCTGCTCACCTGTTTTGTTTGCCCTGTGTCCTGTCAGGTGTAGGTCTTACTTTTATTAAGATCAGTAATATCTGCATTAAATACTATACACGCAAATGGTCGAAATAGATCACGTTATCTAGTCATTCTTATGGGCCACATTATCTCATATTATGATTGGAAAATTACTTATAATTATATTTTTCCCACTTATTTTGGCTAAAGAAGAAAAGGGGATTTGTCTGACTGACTGCTTCTCTATAGCACGTTCTCCAGCTGGCATTTGCAAATAGCTTGGTGAGCTAGTTATTACAAAGGGGAAAATTCACATTTGAAAGTTTGCACAGACCGTAATTGAGTGAGAAAATGAAATCCAACAATTGCTAGGAAGCCATTCCAATTTTTGTGAAGTCCATTACTCCCTATTCAAATGTGGCCTTTTCTGGGTGGTGGATGTATTTTTTGTTCTTGGATAATAACTTTTTGGGTGCAGTTTCATTCCTCACTCTGTCTTCTTCTCATCATGTCATCATGTATTTCTCTACTCTCAATAATACTAGATGGACTCTGCAGTCGACTTCTTTCCCAGAGGATCCTCTATGGAAGTGTTATTCAAACTTGTAAAAACAATGATATGGAGAATAACACGTTTCCACCAGCCCCCTAAGACGTAAAGGGTACAAACGGAATGATGTTTTTTTGAATTTCACTAGCTTTGTTCCAACCCTTGTACTTCTACTGACCATTTGTCCGAGCTAATTGTAATTCTGAATTCATGCATAATTGATTTCCTGTATTTCTCAACCATCTACACATATACACATTATACATATGAGCTATGTATTATACATGCACACACATATATGTGACTATCTCACCATGTATGTGAGATATGCTAAATACCATATAGCATGTTTTTATGTCCTAATATGTTTTAAGAGCATCTGTCTGTGCTATATTTTGTTTCAAATCATTCATTTCTGCAGCTGCATGGTATTTTATTCTACGAATTTACCAGAACTTATTTATTCATTCTGAAGTTGAAGTGTGTTTAAGAATTTTCTCTCTCTCTTTTTTTTTTCTCTTTTAAATAATGCTGCAACAGAGACTTATGCATATGGATTTGGAGTCTCAGGAAAGTTTTCATATATACATTATTATTATGTTATGTATATGAGACTGATTGTTGAGCCATAGCTATATCTCTGATTTTACTAGATACTGCCAAATTACTTACCAAATTGATTTCAACAATTTATATTCTCACCAACCAACTTACTATTGCTCCAAATTTTTGCAAGCAGCTGAAGCTGTCAGACATATAAAATCTTCTGAAACTACTGAATTAGAAAATTTTTGTTGCTGGATTTGCATATGCTTGATTTCCAGCTCTATTTGACTTTCCATTTCCACAAATGTCTTTTTTTATATGTAGTCAGATTTCTAGCTAATTCAGTCACTTTTAATTGATTTGTTAAGCAAAATATATAAAGAATAAGTATATATTTGATTTTTATACATTCCCAGTGTATGAATTTTTTTCACACTTATCTAAAGCAGATTTTTGATGGAGAGAAAGTTTTGAAATATAGTTTTTAACATGTAATGCAATTTCTTGAAGGGCTTACACTTTTTTCTTTGTTTCTTGTTTAAGGAATCTCCCACGTTGAAGTTGTAAAATTTTTAATTGATTTTCTTTTAACAGATAAACAATTTTTCATTTCACACTGAATCCCTTAGTATAGATTTTTGTGAATGAAAGAAATAAAAGCATAATTTTATTTGCTTTTAGAAAGTTAATGAGTGAATTCTGACAGTGCTCCTTGTTGACCATTTCCCCGGTGAATTTTACTGTTGCTGCTCTCCCCATGGGCCCATCTGGTTTTGTGGCTATCTTGATTGGCCGCAGAGCTTTCATTGTGAACTTTCTTTTTTATTCCTTGGAATCAGATCCACATCTTTCAGTAACTTCATAAGAAAACAAGAGAAAGAAATGAAACTTTTTAATCTTTATTTGGCTAAGTCCTGCTATCAAAGCAGATCTTAAAAACTATATCTCAGACACATAGTGTTAAGAACTTTGATTCTCAAGGAATATTCCCAAGATTCGTATCCTGGCTCTTCTGCTTACTACCTATGTGGTGATCGTGCTAGTCTTCACATTGGGTACATGGAAAGCTTAGAATGCGTATGAGAACATAAATAGTTCAATGGAATTAATTTTCATATTTTCAAACTATGTGTGTATACACACATATACACACAGATGTACATGTATACACACTTACCAAAAACATATCCACACATAGGTACGTT